GTTTCTCTTCTCTGGTAGCTTTCACATTTATCTTTTGATTCCCTGATGTTCTAGTCATTAAAAGTGTACCATGTATGAATTTTACTAATTTGTTTGTTTTGTTTTTTGGTGTGATGAAGTCCTCGAACTCTGTTGCCCAGAACTGGAGTGCCAGTGGTACAATTTATCGCCTCACATGCAAACCTCCGCCTCCTGGGTTCAAGCACATTTCCTGCCCTCAGCCTCAAGTAGCGGGAATTAGAGATGTGCACCACACTCGTTCGCTAAGTTTTTTTGGTATTTTGTAGTGAAGATGGGGTGTTCATCATGTGCAGGATGGTCTCAAACTCCTGACCTCAAGTAATCCACCCGCCTCAGCCTCCCAAAGTGCTGGGATTACAGGCATGAGCCACCACACCCGGCTTGAATTTACTATTATTTATCCTGTTTAGTAGTCAGTATTGACGTTAAGGACTCACATTTTTTATTAGTAAAAATCTAAGTTATCTGTTCCAATATTCTTTACTATCCCTTCCATTCTCTTCCCCTGGAACTCTTTTCAGATGTGTGTTGAAGGCTCTCAAGTCATCCTCTATGTCTTTATGTTCTTTTATATTTCCTCCTTTGTCTCACTAGGAGGGAGAACTCCTCAGTACTGCTTTCTAATTTACTAAAATCTCTGTATCGTCTCTACTGATTAAATCTATTAGCAAACACTATTTTAATTTCTAATCATTTGTTTACAGTATTACTAATGGGTCTTAATTGTTAATTTTATATACTGTTTTCATTTCCATATCTAAGTGCAAGTTTATGACACGGGAACCACAGATAGCTTCCTATATCTAGCTTTTCACTATTGAAATTCTGATTAGTTAGCATAACAGCTTTATATATAAATTACAACCATGTATAAAGACTTTCTGAACCCCAGTAGAAAACTTCAATGTCTCCTGGTGATTAGCTATAAGCTCTATTCCTACTATTTTTCATCAGATTGAGAACTATATGGCCTTTTGTTCTGTGTTTCATGTAACCGTCTCTTACTCATTGGCAACACTACAAATTTCCAGAGCACAAAACAAACACTGCTGTAGTGCCAAGCTCTGTAGTTAAAGAAAAGCTAAATCAGAAAATACTTCAACAGAAAAGCAGTAAAACTTTCAGAAATATTTATAACATTCCCAGCTAAAGTCGGCTTGGAAAAGAATGGGTACTAAGACCAGCCTGGGAAACATGGTGAAACCCCATCTCTACTAAAAAATACAAAAATTAGCCGGGTGTGGCGGCATGTGCCTGTAAGTCCCTGCTACTCAGGAGGCTAAGGCAGGAGAATCACTTGAACCTAGGAGGCAGAGGCTGCAGTGAGCCGAGATCGTGCCACTGCACTCCAGGCTGGGTGACAGAGCAAGACTCCATCTCAAAAAAAAAAAAAAAAAAAAAAAAAAAGAATAGGTACTAAAAAAAGAACAGACAGTAAGAGAAGTAAAAAGGTGCATTTCTCATTACCATCTGCACTTATATTTCAGCTATTCTCCAAACAAGTGCAAACACAGCTATCACAACACTAAAGCAAAAGCTGGACCTACTGGGAAAAAACCAATGTTTGGACTTTCAGAGTTACCTTGACCTGGTTTTCCTAAAAGATAAAACAAAGACTGCTGTCCACATCAAAATCCTGGTTTATACTGTAAACACCTGTGGCAATCATTAAAGACTAGATTTAGACTTCACAGTAGATACAATAAAAGCTGCTGTCTCAGGGGAAATCTTCACATTTGATTTTTATTATGATATAGGCTAACAGCCAAGACAAAAACTAAGTAATCAGCATATGACCTTTTATATACTATGCATTTTCTTTACGAATGTCTCTCAAAAACTCTCAAAAAGGATCAGAGTATTTTTTTGAAATTTTGTAAAAAGCTACCCCAACTGTTTGCTATGGCCAGCTAAGTTTATTGACCGCTTTGGACAGTAAAGATACAACAGTACACAAAAAGACTATTTACTGCATTTAGATGTCATCAATGAAATTTTAACAAACTAAGCATGGTTTTTGAACCAACCCATGTTACAAGCTCTTTAATTCACAGATCTAAAACTGCAGTTGATAAGGCATTTCAGAAATGGGAGGCTCTTGGTCATTTTCATTTCTTCAGAATTCTGGGGAAAATTCAATTTTAAAATTTCAAAGAAAATAAGAAAACGAAGGAATCCTAACAGCTTTACTGGGGACACACAAAAAGAAAGCAAAACAAACAAGGTTTAGGCAAGATTGACTTCAATTAGCTGTAGACAGGATGAACAAGCTACAGAGGTTTTGGTATAAGAGGTAAAGGAGAAAATGGATATCATTAGCCAGCATCATACTGCTGGGTTTCAACTGATCATCAGAGAAAATACTACCACAACCTTTTATATATACATCAAATGTTTTACAGGTCATCTTGACAAGAATATACCATTGCAGAAGGACAGTGGTGCTGGATTAATTCAAAAGCATAAACAAATTTTAAAAGGGAGAAGATACATTCATATAAAGATACTGAATAACCAGACAGAACTTATTTCTTTTGAGACAGCACATTGAGGCATGGGCCTGTAATCCCAGCTACTAGGGAGGCTGAGGCACGAGAGTCGCTTGAATCCAGGAGGCGGAGGTTGCAGTGAGCCAAGATCACACCACTGCACTTCAGCCTGGGCAACAGAGTGAGACTCGGTCTCAAAAAAAAAGAAAGAAAGAAAAAGAAACAAATGCACATTCAAATTCCAAAACCATTTTTAAGAACAAAATTCTAAAAGAGATGTAAAGAAGAAAACTCAAGGAGGAAAACCACTGTAAAATCTCTGCTAAAAAGCTATTCGTGTGTTTTTTTGTTAAACAGATGACAATGGACATTAAATCACTGATATTTTCATTCCACTGGATATGTTTAAAAGCACGAAGTTGGCCAGGCGCGGTGGCCCACGCCTGTAATCCCAGCACTTTGGGAGGTCGAGGAGAGCGGATCACAAGGTCAGGAGTTCGAGACCGGCCTGACCAACATGGTGAAACCCTGTCTCTACTAAAAATACAAAAATTAGCGGGGCGTGGTGGTACATGCCTATAATCCCAGCTCCTCGGGAGGCTGGGGCAGAAAAATCGCTTGTATCCGGGAGGCGGAGGTTGCAGTGAGTTGAGATCGCGCCATTGCACTCCAGCTTGGGGCAACAGGGCGAGACTCCATCTCAAAAAAAAAAAAAGCACGAAGTTTTCATTTAAATTGTAAATATCAACAATATAAAACTTATATCCTTCACATCTTTTCAAGCAAAAAATTTTAAACATCAACTTTAAAATGTATAAAGGTTGTATGTAAGTATATATTTTACAGAGTTCACAAGTTAAAAAAGCTGCATGATCACTAGTCTAGAACAGGATTTCTCAAACTGTAGTACTTGAACTAGCTAGCCAGTAACTGGAATCATCTATGAGCTATTAGAAAATGCAAATTTCTGGGCTCCACCCAAACATACTGTGGTTTTAACAAGCTCTCCAGGTGATTTTTATCCATGTTAGAATTTGAGAGCCGGCGGCCGGTGGCTCCAAGCCTGTAATCCCAGCACTTTGGAGCCGAGACGGGTGGATCACGAGTCAGGAGATCGAGACCATCCTGGCTAACACGGTGAAACCCCGTCTCTACTAAAAAATACAAAAAACTAGCCGGGCGGCGGTGGCGGGCGCCTATAGTCCCAGCTACTCGGGAGGCTGAGGCAGGAGATGGCGTGAACCCGGGAGGCGGAGCTTGCAGTGAGCTGAGATCGGCCACTGCACTCCAGCCTGGGCGGCAGAGCGAGACTCCGTCTCAAAAAAAAAAAAAAAAAAAAAAAAGAATTTGAGAGCCACTATTCTATTATAGAATAGAGCAGTTTTCAAATTTAGTGTGCATCTGGACCCAATTCCCCCCTTCTAACTCAGTAAATCTGGGTGGGACCCAAACATTTGCATTTCTAACAACCTTCCCAGGTGATGATAATGATAATGATGCTGTTCCACAACCACACTTTGAGAACCACTGGTCTAGAGAGCTGTGGAAACCATATCCACATTATTCTAGGTCAGTACTCAGAATGTAAGCCCCTTCCCTGATCCTTCAAATTAGGTCCCCCACCATGTTCTCTCATGTATTTTCCTGATAGTTTTCCTTTTTCTTTTTTTTGAGATGGAGTTTCACTCTTGTTGCCCACGCTGGAGTGCAACGGCGCGATCTCGGCTCACCTCAACTTCTGCCTTCTGGGTTCAAGTGATTCTTCTGCCTCAGCCTTCCGAGTAGCTGGGATTACAGGCACACGCCACCACGCCCGGCTAATTTTGTATTTTTAGTAGAGACAGGGTTTCTCCATGTTGGTCAGGCTAGTCTCGAACTCCCGACCTCAGGTGATCTGCCCGCCTCGGCCTCCCAAAGTGCTGGGATTATAGGCATGAGCCACCGCGCCCGGCCTGCAATTTCTTTTTTAACAACTCATCACACAATTACTTAACATCTGTTTGGCTCATTGAGTTCAACCAAGTTAAAGAACCACATGAATTCTGCTCCTTCTGTATACCCAACACGTAAGTATAATGTCTGCCTCATAGTAGATATTAAATAAATATTTATTGACAATTGAATATTTGTTGGGTAAAACTGATGTTTCACGGAATTAAACATAGCTAAAGATGTTATTAGAATGCCAACAATCCTAGTTTGCCCACAACTGTATCTCAAGTGTAAGAGCAATGACCGTCTCTTATCTCAAGGCTATGCAACCTAAATATCAACAGTAAGATCAAAAAACAAGGCAAAATCTGAAGAAGGCATTTTTCAACTTGTTTTTTCAATCTCATTCTTAATCTGGCCTTTAAACAGTATTCTTTTATTATGCAAGTACCAATAAAATCAAGGCGTATTCAATGATAAAATTAACACTACTACCAAGAAACTCAACACTTTGAGGCCATTTTCGCATTGAAGGTGGTGGGAGACTTATGAACTTACCCTCTTTAGCCAAATATAACTCCTTAAATTTTGCTCTCTTTTGATTAAATTCTTGTTCAAGCTGCTGTTGTGCACGTAAAAATTCTGCATTAATTTTTTCCAATTCTGCTACCCGTTGCTGAAGAGAAACTGGGGGAAAAAAATACTAGTTAACAAGTAATAACTTTTATTTATAAATAAATTTATAAAACAATAAATTAATATTCCAGCTGCACACTGCTATACATGAAACAAGTAGTCAAGTCTCTTCCAAAAATCCACCATATGCTAGGATATTCTAATGTTAAAAAAAGTAAGACAGGCCAGGCATAGTGTCTCACGCATGTAATCCCAGCACTTTGGGAAGCCAACGCAGGTGGATCACCTGAGCTCAGGCATTCGAGACCAGCCTGGCCAACATGGAGAAATCCCATCTCTACTAAAAATACAAAAATTAGCCAGGTATGGTGACAGGCGCCTGTAATTCCAGCTACTCAGGAGGCTGGGCCGGGAGAATCGCTTGAACCCAGGAGGCGGAGGTTGCAGTGAGCCGAGATCACGCCACTGCACTCCAGCCTGGGTGACAGAGTGAGACTCTTGTCTCAAAAAAAAAAAAAAAAAAAAGACCCTTCTATTAGACTTAATACACAACTGTAAATGAGTCATGTAAAGTGAAACCACAAATATACAGAGAATCACATAAGACCAACTTCCCCACAAAAAAAGAGCTTCTAAAGTGCCTTTGTGAACTGAATAGCAATTCAATTTTAGAACTGTTAAATACTGGATTATTTGAGCTAATTATCCCACACATGAACCCACTGCCAATCTTGCTATTTCCCATTTCTCTCAAATGTCACAAGCAGAATCTAATAGGTTCCCTAATTAGTGCCGCCATACCAGACTGAACTATTCTTCCAACTCCAAAATGATCCATTACCATTATACTGAGATCATAATCAAAAACCCATTCACAGAGAGAGGATACAGAACTGTACATTCTATATGAACTCTCAGTTACTGAGAGATAATCTGGTTTTCTTCCATGTTTTCAATATTGATCATGGTGTGCGGGGATTAGCAGACTTTTTTTTTACTTTATGGACACTATAATTTGGACTCAGTTGGTTAAATGACTGCCTTCCCTGACCAAACCGAAGGGTTCTTTTGATTGAAGCATAAGATAGGAGGTCCAGCTGTCCAAACCCCTGATCTCCTCTTTTGCCCCAACAGCATCCCAGCCTTAAAGCTATGACCATAATCCCTTTAGGGGGTATCAGTTAGTCCTAATCAACCACTAACTACTTAGGCCAGCAGAGATCCAAGTTTCCTGCTACAAGTCACTCCAGATAATGATGATTTGCCTACAATTTTAATCAAGATCTGAGATTATCTTTGAAGGCTATCCCCTCTCCCAATCACTCACTCAATTTAATTGAGAGCTGATTTTTAAAATGTATAGAAAAAAACATGGGAAAAAATGTACCAATGCTTTATGTATGAGTAACAGAATTATGGCCCATTAATTTCTTCCATATGCTTTTTTATTTTTGAGACAGAGTCTCGCTCTGTTGCCCAGGCTACACTGCAGTGGTGCGATCTCGGCTCACTGCAAATTCTGCCTCCCATATTCAAGTGATTCTTCTGCCTCAGTCTCCCAAGTAGCTGGGACTACAGGCATGCACCACCATGCTTAGCTAATTTCTGTATTTTTAGTAGAGATGGCGTTTCACATGTTGGTCAGGCTGGTCTCGAACTCCTGACCTCAAATGATCCGCCCACCTCGGCCTCCCAAAGTGCTGGGATTACAGGCATGAGCCACCGCTCCCAGCCTTCCATATGCTTCTCAAAGTTCTCTTCTATGCAGATGTGTATCTGAACTAAAACCAATACAGATGGTTCAAACTGATGGTTTCACTTACAATTTTTCCATTTTATTATGGTACTCATATAACCACTCTTTTTCACTTTCAACTTTCACTACAGGATTCAATAAATTACATGATATACACAACATTTTATTATAACTTGATAAATGTCAGTTGTCATTATTAAATTGGTGGTATTTATTTAATGAATAACAAAAAAAAAAAAATAGTAATCAAATGACCTTGTATGTAGCCAGAAAAGACCAGAAGTCACTTCCAACCTCATGATTCTGACTCAGTTCCATGCTTAGACTCCCAGCTTATACCCTTCCCTATTACCATATATCTTTTTTGGGTTTTTCTTGAGACGGAGTCTCACTCTTGTCACCCAGGCTGGAGTGCAGTGGCACAATCTTGGCTCATCGCAACCTTCGCCTCCCAGGCTCAAGTGATTCTCCTGTCTCAGCCTCCCAAGTAGCTGGGATCACAGGCACATGCCACTGTGCCCAGCCAGTATTTGTATTTTTAGTAAAGACAGGGTTTCACCATGTTGCCCAAGCTGGTCTTGAACTCCTGACCTCAGGTGATCTGCCCGCCTCGGCCTCCCAAAGTGCTGCGATTACAGGCATGAGCCACCGTGCCCAGCCTACCATGTATCTTTATAGCATCATGAACAAACTAATTACTATAATGCCAGCCTTCAACAATATTAAACTTTCTGAAATTTAAAACGCTGAGAATATAAGTATGCCAGCCTTTGTCAACAACAGGTTTTCTGTTAGAAGATTTTGCCCAGCTGTAGGCTAATATAAGTGTTCTAGGCACATTTAAGGTAGCTAGGCTAAGCTATGATGTTCCATAAGTGTATTAAATGCATTTAATGATACTTCCAATTTATAATGGGTATAGCTCCATGGTTAAGTCGAGAAGTATCTCTATGTGTTCATTCCCATGAGACCTTGAAACTAGCCTCGCTATAGATTTAATAGTGTAAGTGCAATCACTGCAGAAACAGGATTACTGCTGGTTTGAGTTCCATGTCATTAATGGTAATTATTTTAAGGAACAAACACGTAGGGTCCCTAAGTCAAAGCAACAACTTCTGGTCAACAGAAGGTTTGATAAAACTTTGAGAAAAAGAGGGATGAGAAATCCATTGGAAGGAAAAAATGTGCAATTATCTCATATTACCATTTGAAATCATGAAAGAAATCTGTTCTCTGTGCTAATTTTACTGGTATTTTTATTATTAAATCCACATTGTTTAGTAAGTTAAACAACTTTTCCACATAACACTTTAGTATTACTAGTAGCTACTGATTAGTACAGAGGTAATAAAGGGCTCTGGGGAATCAAGGAAAGAGAAAAACCAAAATCCCTGTTCTTATTTTTCTCTAATAAGACGGTATCCCCTCCTATCCCTACCTTCTACCAAAATGCACACATAACCAAAACACCCATACCTCTCAACATTAATGTGTTTATAATTAGGAACTGAGATAAATGAATCAACAAAACAAAAATGCAGCCGTTAAAGATGCAGCCAAGACTAAGTAGGTTTCCATTACTCCCAACCCCTCATGGCTCTGGCCCACAGTTTAGACCCACTCTATACCCACAAAGCCTGACTCTCTCCAGGCTTCAGGGAGAGTGTTCGGTTCTAGAAATCATGATCCCTTTGAGAGTATATCGAGTAATTGTCTTTCTCTTTTTTTTTTAAGAAGTGATCATCCACCTCAAGTACTTCTAACATACTGCAATTCTACAATATAGAAAGACAAAAAAACGGCTTTTTACAAGAATGCCTTTACTACAACATCTAGAAAAATCAATTCACCCTAAATATGAGAAAGTTTACAAATAAGCGTATCCTAATGCATTAGCAACCAACCACAAATCAAGGAGAAAACAGCTCTCATCACACAAAATGCTGCAATATTTTTTATAACATGGCAGCTAATAGGTCACAATCATTAGCTAACAGTTCATGTAAAAAGTACTTAGTGTGGCATATAGAATAAAGTTGATAAACGTTAGCTGTCATTATTAAACTGGTAGTATTTATTTCATGAATAAAGCAAAAAAGTAGTGATCAAATGACTTTATATGTAGCCAGAAAAGACCAGAAGTCACTTCCAACCTCATGATTCTGACTCAGTTCCATGCTGAGACTTCCAGCTCATACCCTTCCCTATTAACATGTATCTTTATAGCATCACGAACAAAGTAATTACTGTATTGCCAGCCTTCAACAACATTAAACTTGAAATTTAGAAGGCTGAGAATATCAGTATGCCAGCCTTTGTCAACAGTTCCATATATCCCGCATTTGTTGCCTTCATTTGAGCAATAAGAAAAAGGGAGAAATTATCTAATGCATTGCCTACTTTCTTTCTTCTTTTTTTTTTTCTTTTCCTTTCTTCAGACGGAGTTGTTGCTCTGTTGCCCAGGCTGGAGAGCAATGGCGCAATCTCGGCTCACTGCAACCTCCATCTCCTGGGTTCAAGCTATTCTCCTGCCTCAGCCTCCCAAGTAGCTGGGATTAAAGGAGCTGCCACCATACCAGGTTAATTTTTTTGTATTTTTAGTAGAGACAGGGTTTCACCATGTTAGCCAGGCTAGTCTTGAACTCTTGACCTCAGGTGATCCACCTGCCTCGGCCTCCCAATGTGCTAGGATTACTGGTGTGAGCCACCACGTTCAGCCATGCAATGGCTACTTATAATGCTTGACATCCAAAGGGAAAAATGACTATGTCACTCAATTCAGAATGTCTGAATTAACAACAGCAATACAAAAAGAAAAAAGAATACAATAAATAAGTGGAGTAAAGACCTAATTATTTTGATATAAACAAGAGAACACGTAATAACTTAAAGTATTTCTAAGACTCAAGCTGTGTCCTACTACTACGTTCCTCTTACAAGTAAAACTTATAATAATTTTTTTTTTTTTTTGAGGTCCGAAGGGGACGGATCGCCTGAGGTCAGGAGTTCGAGACTAGCCTGGCTAATATGGCAAAACCCCATCTCTACCCAAAAAAAAAAAATTAGTTGGCCATGGTGGCAGGCACCTGTAGTCCCAGCTACTCGGGAGGCTGAGGCTTGAGAATCGCTTGAACTGGGGAGGTGGAGGCTGCAGTGAGCTGAGACGCACAACTGCACCCGACCTGGGCAACAGAGCGAGACTGTCTCAAAAAAAAAAAAACGAATTT